GCCGCGAACCCATCTAACCAAAACGTGCAAGGCCACGGTCAGCCATCAGACGTGATTATTGTTTACGTTCGTATAATATGCTGGCCTGCGTATATATTACTTTATTATATTCTCGTTATACATAGAGAGTTTTTACAGCAATTTATTTAAAAGCAGCAGCAGCAGGAGTTTTTTGCCGTTTGCTCATGAGTGGCACTGTGGTGAGTGCTGGGTGAACTTTGTCGTTACGGTCGGTCGTTGTCGCTGCAGTGTGGCTGCGCCAGTCGCTGCGACTTTGTCGTTTGTCGTTACAGTCGGTCGCTGTCGCTGCAGTGTGTCTTGGCCTTTAATAGGCCTACATGATCATAAAACATGATAATATTGAATGCTATGTATAATTGTATATACGAAGTAAGATTAAATTAAATCTATGCTATTATTAACCGATTATCCGATTATATAATCGATTATCGATCGGTTAGGGGAAACCGATAATCGATTATGAAATTCCAGCCGATTCCCATCACTACTAATAGTACATAAACCGCATTGATTATTATATTCCATTTATCTTGCATTACCGCTTTCCGCGTATTCACTCCTTGTTTTCCTCGACCATAGCAGTAGCAGTGATAGCCTGATTCAAGATGGCTGCGCCCATGGACATGCGTGTTGACATATTTATGTGCGATCTATATTTCATCCTCTCTTTAGTCAATATAAGGTTATTCCATCTATACTGTGAGTTCAATCTATCCATCCTGATCTAGTCTACTGCTCCTGTAAGTTACACACCCCCGAAATCTCCACACTATCCTTATCCCTAATTCTAAAATAAAATAAAATTAGCCAAAAATAATTAAAAATAAAATAAATGACAAAATTAGCCAATCAGAGAAGAGAGCCGGTTGTTTAGTTTTCAAGATTCCGAAACCGGATTTGGTTGTTTAGACACTTCCATTACAAATACGATAATCTCTGACTATTGCTTGCTTTCACCATTTTCTGTTTGTCGCTTATACTCGATTGACCGTGCCACTGCTAGTGCTTTGTCTTCTTTGTATAAATATAGATTTGGGATAGATTGGGTTACAGTTACATTACTTGATGTATTTTTGTGTGTGCCATGTTCCAGTTATTATATTGCCGGTTTACCCTACTAGCATTTTCTGTACACTTGATCATCAAAATGGCTGATGGTTAGAGTTGCCCAAAAATGCATCTTGTTACTGAAGTTTGGCCATTGCATTTAGGCTTGTTTCTGAACATACTGAGTCACATAAACATTATTTAACAGTAAACTATATTGCAAGCCATGTAACAGCGCTCAGCACAATGAGTTGACATACCTGAATAACAGTTTTATTCGAGTACCACCCCTTTTGCATGTAATGACAATCAAATTAGAACATGAACAATATAATTGCATTGGTGACAGTGAGTGTGCATTTACAATAGCACTTATTTTGTGTGCACGTGCATTTTTCTTGTAGGAAATTATACTTGAAATGCAGCACCCATCACTTTCCTACCAGCCCATGGAAGATGAGTCACCGCAGCATGTTGTTGGCACAGGTCAGACCGGGGATACTCAGCAACTGACGGGGATGGCGGCGTCGCCGGTGTTTCCAAACTTGACGCAGCCCAAGAAAACTCTTCCGAGGAAAGCCATCGTCATCATCTGCAGCTTTGAGATTGCGATCGGTATCATCATCATGGTCTGCGAAATTGTACTTATAGGGGCAGACGGCATCGTCATGAAAGTTGGCACAGGGATCTGGGTTGGACTGTTCTACGTTGTCGCAGGAGCGGTCGGAATTGTGGCCGCTAAGAAAGTGAACAGCGATGACGGTGAGAGTGCTGGCAATCCGAACTTGCCTGCGTATCACACGAATGTTAGATCTGAGAAGCACAGAGGCTATGTCGTAGCGTTCATGGTGTTAAGCATCATAGCATCCATAGCATCTGCTGTATTGTTGATAATGTGTCCGATACAATTGCTTATTAATAGTTTTGCGTATCCTGGTTATCGGTGTCACGACGATCACAGTTACCATAACGACGCGTACGATTATGCTCTCGCCAATGACCCTAACGCGACGAACTTCTACAGATACGATGACCACGAAGACGACTCGTTTTGTCCTTTGAGGCTCGTGTTTGACATTCTGATTGTTGTCATGACGATCTTAGCTGGAATCAATGGTTGTCTTTTCATCACGTGCGCAGCCCTGTGTTGCCGATCTGTCTGTTGTCAACGCAAGCCTGCAGCTGTGGTAGTTTGCTATGTCAGTGACGACCCCATGCAGTCAGGGCAGATGATTCAGCTTCCACTGGGTAGTGTTCAGCCCGTGAGAGCATAAAACGGAGTATAGATGTTCGTATTTGGTATGTCTTCACTCACACAACATGTAACTGGCGTGTTAACTTAAATACTGTATATGCTGTATATTTAATGTTTTAATTTTCGCGAATTTCGCAAACGCGTCCGCTACCGTGAAAATAACAACACGCGAATAATTCATACCGAATAATTCATAATTCATCGACTCCGAAATTGTCCGTCAAGTCTGAATTCGTGAAAATATATCTGTATGCGAAAAATATGGAGTATACAGTAGACCATTCATTGTCACATCGGCAGTGAACTGGTTGTTCTGGAAACTGATGTTGCTGGCGAATCATGTAGGCTCGTCTGAGTTAGACATTGCAGTTGAGGAAATTCACGCTAGCCATATAAATTCCACACTAACTCCCAACTGCAACTTGCAGTATCACATTACAGTCAAATTCCAGCTATAATCATGCAGTGTGCTTCACGGTAAGCCTTGACCTTGAATGGCTTAGTATAGGCTATTTACACAAGCGGCTGTAGTCTATCGACAGCAGCATTACAAGTGCTGTAATTCACTACACTTTTACGATTACACATTGAACGTTACATGTTAAACAGTAACATATTACATGCTAATACCAACGTTTACATCTTACTATAATTTGGCGAATGTTGTATGTATGTATGTATCTTCTTACTATAATTTGGCGAATGTTGTATGTATGTATGTTAATGAAAGGCTGCATCAGTTTGGATAAACATTTGCCTGAAAATAGGGGGCGCTGTTTTGTTTTCGTTCAGTTTGTATTTCGTTGTGTATCAACAGGTTTCAATTTCGTGTTGTTCTGTGTATCTCTGTTCTGTGTCTGTGTGTCTGAGATTTGTGTAAGCCCCATAATGTAAGTAGAAATAACCATGTAATAATGAAGTTAAATATTCAGTAGCTATTGGGCCATAGTTTCCCATATGAGATGTACAAGTTGAATTTCATCAGTGCAGATTTTTTTTTGGAAGTCTGCAATGCTGTACAGTGTACGGGTGCCATGGACACCGATCTGTCACAAGCGGTCCGATCACAAGCACGTAATATTACGTCGTCCTCAAAGATTGCAAACATGCGTAGAAATAAGCGATCACAACCACGCAATATTACCTGGTCCGCACACAGTGGAAACATGCGAAGCACGTAATATTACGTTTATGTTATACCCATTCACATCTATCTATATTCTAACTTTGGAGTCCGTATCATCAACCAGTACATAGCATACAATAAAACGTTTCTGTGTGGGTGTGTGTATTTGACTGTGTACTTGCCAAACAAATGGTTAATGTGTTACGTGTAAGCATGATTGCACATGTATTTGTATTGACTTCTCAACCATAAAAAACAAACATGTGCAACAACTTAACTCTCCATATAACACCTTACACATAACACTACTTCACTGGTAACACATGCATCACAGTCACTAAGCCCGCGCGTAGCGCGGGTTTCAGCTAGTATTGAACAATTTATCATGAATCAAATCGATACAAGTCCCCTAACATGTTAACACAATGGCACAACGCTCAAATGGAACAAATCATTAGCTTCGAGCCCATTCTTGTTCCCCGGATTGTGCCTTAAAACAGCACCAGTGCCACCTCTCAGTGTGAGATCTTAGTTTTGATCGAAATATTCTCCCCCCACGATGCGATGTCACTCTCGCATCTCTACCCATACAGTACTGATAATTGCTCTACAGTTCAAATTACTCATACCCTTCTACAGGACATATGACTACTATCTTATTTACAGGTCTACTGAACAACTTGTTCGCTGTTTTGACTTGGACGTTTCACACTCGATTGTCTTTTCCCGGATACACTTCAGTGATTCGACCAAGCTTCCATTGTCCCCGAATCATGTTAGGGTCAGCCATCAGAACAACATCATCTACCCTGACATTCCGACAGTCCACGTTCCATTTCCTTCGAGGAACCAGCAGCGGGAAGACATCTCAAATCCATGACTTCCAGAAGGCATCGACTATGCGCTGAACGAATTCCAGTCTGTCTTTCAGATTCTTCGTTGGACGGAACGGTCCTTGTGGAACCCTACTGGAGGCTCGTCCCAACAAGATATCGTTCGGGCAAATATACTTACCATCGTCTGGATCGTTCAGTAGTCCTCTGATGGGTCGTTTGTTTACAAGATTGGCCACTTCTTGTAGGCAGGTATACAGCTCAAACAGCGTGAGTCGTTGTTCGCCGATTGCTTTCTTCAGAGCATGCTTGCAGCTCCTTACAAGTGCTTCAGCACATCCATTTTGATGTGGAGCCAGTGGTGTAATGAATTTACATTTAACGTGTCTCTCTGCAGAGAAGTCTTGTAATTCATCCTCACTCCAGCCAGTCAACATTTTTCTCAGTTGCCTCTGGGCACCCACAAACTGCGTACCGTTGTTTATGGTAGTGTATTACTTTTGGATGTCCCCTGATGGCAAAGAACCGTCTCAATACCTGCAGGAATTCCATAGTTGAACAATCAACTGCTACTTTCAAGTGAACAGCTCTTGTGTTGAGGCAAGTGAAGATGACTTCATAGTGTTTGGTAGTTTTATTCCATCCAACCTTTACCACATATGGCCCAAAATAATCGCAGGCAGTGAAATAGAATGGCGGGGTAAACGGCGCCAATCTCTCTACTGGAAGATCTGCTATCCTCTGTGTCTCAGCATTGTGGTCGAAGGCCCGGCAGGTTACACATCTGAACTTCACCTTCTTCGCCAGCCTCGTCACTCCCACTATCCACTATCTGCTTCTAACTTTAGCAGCAGTGGTGGCAACACCATAATGGCCACATTCATGCACATTCCTCGTGATTAAGTAGGATATGTAATGTTCTCTTGGCAGCAAAGCTGGATGTTTAGACTCGTAGGAGAGCAGACTGTTCCCAGCTCGTCCTCCCACATAGATGATATGTTCCTTCAGAAAAGGACTTAGGGACTTGAATACACCCTTCTCCATGTCTTCATGTACATTCTTCTGAGCTTCTTTGATCCAGTATTTCTCTCCTGTGGAAAGCTCTTCTGCTGACAGTGGCCTGTCTTCCTTCAGGCATTTGTATTTCAGATTGGTCAGAAATCTAAAAACGTATGCTGTCACACGGATAAACTTCCTCCAATTGGAGAACTTTGTACAGTCAATGGCACATTCTACTTCCCTGACTAACAGTACAGTTTTCTCTTTCCTTTTCTCTTTGTTTAATCTCGTTTATCTCAGCTTTGGGAATGCATCTTGGCCATTCTTCTTCTGGCAACCGGAGAAAGGCTGGACCTTTTCCCATTCACTTTCCAAGTCATCGATTGCAATCCCTCTGGACACTTTGTCCGCGATGTTATATTCCCCTGGTATGTGTCACCAATCTGATGGGCCGGTCTGGCTCTGTACTTCTGATACTCTTTTTGAAACAAAATACTTAAACTGCCTGGACTGGCCTCTAATCCAGGACAAGGCAATTATACTATCAGACAGGAATACAGCTTTGTCGGGTTTCACTGATATCTCTTCTATCACAGTAGCATATAGTCTGGCTGCGAGGACAGTGGATTGCAACTCCAACCGAGGAATAGAGATAGCTCTCAGTGGGGCCACACGTGACTTTGCTGAAACGAACCTCACGTCATAATTTCCATCATCCTCTTCCCACCTTGTATAAGCCACAGCGCCGAATGCTGCTTCTGATGCATTACAGAATATCACAATTCCAGTAGGTCTGGATGGTTTTGGCATTGGGCATCTGTTGAAGGATATACCATCTAGCTTTTCCAGTTGAGTGAAGAACCTCCATTCGTTTGTAACTTCGTTAGACAAGGAGTCATCCCAGCCAATACCAATCTGCCACAGCTCCTGCATTAATATTTTCCCTCTGATTATAAATGCACCGGTGAACCCGATTGGATCAAAGATTTTTGCCAATTCACTCAAAACGTTTCGTTTGGTCATCAGCTCATTTTCCTTTGTTCTGACAGGTTTGACCTTGTACTTTAGAAGGTCAGACTCAGAATCCCAGACCACACCTAAGACTTTCTGCTCTTCCGCATTGCTAATAACAAGTCTTTCATCAGGATTTTCCTTGTCATTCAATGGATCATTTGAGAACCATTCTTTTACTCTGAAGCCTCCCTTCTGGAGTACAGTGTCCATATCATGGGTGACATCTCTGACTTTTTGAATTGTATGGACTGATGTGCAAATGTCATCCATATGGGTGTCCTTGTTCAATATATGTGCAGCCTCTGGATACTGGCATGCTCCTTCTGCTACAGTCCTCTTCAATGCAGTTATAGCCATAGCTGGTGCAGGTTTGTCGCCAAATGTTACCACTTCTTTTATATAAACATCCGGTTCTCTGGATTCGTAGCTTCTCCACAGGAACCGATGAACATGTTTGTCCATTTCTGGAATCTCCACTTGGTGGTACATCTTTGATATATCACCTGATATGGCTATCGGGTGTTGCCTGAAATGCAACAGGACACCAAAGAGATCATTCAGGCGGTCCGGGCCCTTCTCCCAGTAATCATTCAGACGATGTCCCTTAAAGGATGCAGAAGAGTTAAACACGATCCGCACTGGTGTGCTCTTCTTCTCTGGGCGGATGACTGCATGATGAGAGATATAATGTACAGGACCCTTGTAATTTTGTATCTCTTCTAGTCTAAGCTTTTTGGAAAACCCCTTTTCCTCCATTTCCTTCATCTGCTCATCATATAGTCGGGCATTAGTCTCATTCTTCATCAACCGCTGTTCGATTGATACCAGCTTTGCCATACATTGCGTCTTGTTGTTAGGCAACTCTTCCGGATTTCGTTTCCAGTGGTATGGAACTAGCCATCTGTTATTCATCTTTTTACATGACTCCCACATTGCATTGAACTGCTGTCGTTCACTAGCTGTCATTCACAGATCATCTAGAAGCTTACACTTGCAGTTCGGTAGCCTCACGCCCATTTCCTCGGTTGACCAGAACTGTGTTAGGTCGGCCCTGTCTGTGACCTTGATGTGGAGTACAGTTGAAGACTGTCTAGGCTCACCTGAGGATCCAAAGATTACCCAGCCTAATG